GGCGTCTCTAGCACTCATCGCGACCATTGTAAGCCATCTATTGTTTACTTTTCTTCTGGGTCGCCATTATTAGGTTATAATTTACGAGTCTGCATGCACTTAATTTGCGACTTATTCATGTATTCATCTTGAACAGTCACGGCATATCTAGAACAGTCACGGCATATCTATTTTATTCACTCCTCTAGAGCAAACAATCTGCCAACTTTGTAGTTTACGTTAAGTAGAAGACAAAGTTTTTCCATAAACTTCCATTTGCATGATAGCGATAGAATATTTTTTAAGTTATGTATATTTACCCACTTCATTTAACCCTACCTAAACCGGGGGGGGGGCTAAAAGTGCCCGCGGCAACTTTGATGTCACCTAGCGTCTGAACGGCTAGCCGTAGAACGGCCAAACTTGGTGACTTTTCCTAGAATATTGTTGGCAACAATTCTCTATCATTGGAATATGATGATAATTTTTCGTGTTGCCATGGCAACGGGTTTCTGACAGGCATTTTTTGCTAAATTTACTACTTTTTGTTTCGACAATGGAATTTAATGGGTTTTATGTCAAGTAACTCATGGTTTCTAATATTAATAACATCCCATATAATTTTATGTAAATTTTATCATTAAATATGCATAAATTATGCTAATTTGATGACGTCATTGGCCAAAATCCAAGATGGCGGACCATATCATTAGAACAGGTATATACAGGTTATTTTCATTAACATTTCATGAAAACTTCCATTTCTTTTTGCAAAAAATGTTTAAAGGAAGGTCTTTAGTATGTTTACAATGTATTTAAGGCTTTATCATTAAAAAAAAACTATTTTTGAAAATTCAAGATTGATGATCCAAGATGGCGGATATCTTAAATATGCGTGACGTCATTTTATGACGTCACCGGTGTTGCTATGGGCAACATAAGACGTAGTACACCATAATATTCTGTCATAAACACTTTTGGTACAGTTATGTTGAATAACATTTAGTTTTCAGGGAAAAAACTATTTAGACGGTTTTGGCAATTAAAATCACATTAATGACGTCATAATGACGTCATATTACGTCATAACGACATAGAATTGTAGATATGATAAATTTTCACTAGTACACCATTCTCTGAAAATTTGGTGGTCATACGACATACCGTTCGCGAGTTCTTAAGGGGGGGGGTCAAAAGAGCCCCCTTCCCGTCCCCCCATGTCAAAAAAAGCCCGGTCTAGGTAGGGTTAAATGATTCAAAGAAATGTATATCTCTTTGACAAACTGTATTTCTACTATTACTGAGAAACGAGAGCAAGCTTAGTATACTAGATGTTCATATGCACGGTTATTTATATGATTGTCAATACGTGACCTGTATTTAGCCCAACGAGGCAAAATGTACAATAAATGTCTTCTTTTTTCGTTACTCCCGGATTGTGTAACCCTGCATGAAGATGGGAGATTGTTTTGACAATTGATTGGTCAAAAAATGGCGTAATACTTGCCCTAATTTCCGAATTATTGATATTTTATATTGAAAATTTGGTATACGTCGTGATACAGACATAAACCTGCATGTTCTGTAGATATACCCATCATCTTTGTTTTCCAGTCTGCTGAAAGCGAAATCCAAGCCGCTATCGTGGGGGCCAGTGTTGCGGGTATCGCTATCGTTTGGATCATCTGGGGAGTTTTCTTCATCCTGACGGTAGGGCATTGTCAATCAATCAGTCATTCAAGTTGTTGTTTTAAAAATAAAGCAGAAAATTTTATGGCCATTCTCTCATTGGTTGAACTGCTGATTGTGATTAACAGTCAGGATCAGTCTATTGCCGTCTGTATTTCACAGGTGTACGGCTGCCTTGTGGTGATTTCGCACTACCAGAACCTCCGTGACGCGGCAATGGGACAGGGCCAGCAGCAGATGGTGGTGATTGGGAACCAACCCGGCATGGCAGGCAACCAGTCTTACATGGTGGGCAACCAAACCGGCATGGCAGGCAACCAGCCCTATATGGTGGGTAACCAACCCTATATGGTGGGCAACCAACCCACCATGACGGACAACCAGCCTTACGGCAGCCAACCGGTCATGGAGAACAAGCAACCCGCTATGATGGGTCCCCAACCGGGTTTGGGCCAAGAATCCCACGACGTAAGTACATTCAATTAGTATCCCGTGTGGGTCCTCTTTGGATAATCAATATTTCCCTGTACGGAAATATTGTTTTTGGTGGCGGAGCTGTTGGTTTGTGTGTATGGGGGTCTTTGGCTATCCACAAAATTTATATTTCTTTGTGGACAGCCAAATTTATATTAGTGTGGCGTGCGCGACTCGGAACCTAGGAGTCCCGGGTTCGAGTCCTGACATGCCACCGATCTTGTGCCCTTGGGAAAGGCACTTCACACTACTTTCCTCACTTAACTCGGGTGAAAATGAGTATTGTCCTGCCATATATTTGTCCCTTGTGTTATTGGCGGCATTAATATAGGATGATAAAACTTGAGTGTGACGCCACCACGTCTAGTGATTACATGTTGGAATAATAAAAAAAATTATATTTCTTTGTGGACAGCCAAATTTATATTCCTTTGTATGTGGACAGCCACATTTATATTCCTTTGTGGACAGCCAAATTCATATTCCTTTGTGGACAGCCAAAATTTCTATTCCTTTGTGGACAGCCATATGTATATTCCTTTGTGGACAGCCAAATGTATATTCCTTTGTGGACAGTCAAATGTGTATTCCTTTGTGGACAGCCAAATTTATATTTCTTTGTGGATAGCCAAATGTATATTCCTTGTGGACAGCCAAATTTATATTCCTTTGTGGACAGAAAATTTGTATTCCTTTGTGGACAGCCAAATTTATATTCCTTTCTGGACAGCCAAATTTGTATTCCTTTGTAGACAGCCAAATTTATATTCCTTTGTGGACAGCCAAATTTATATTTCTTGGTGGACAGCAACAATTATATTCCTTTTTGGACAGCCAAATTTACATTTCTTTGTGGACAGCCAAATTGCTCCTACGGCCGGCGGCTACTGAACAGAGAGGAAGACTGAGAGAAATCTTGGCAGAGTAGGTTAATAATACATGGGGAGGGAAGATGAGTGAAGGTAAAATGGAAATACACAAGAAATGTGGTGAACCAGCAAAATGCTTGACTGTACGTGGATGGGCAATCCAACAGACAGAATTGCAGGCCGAACGGGCAAAGAAAAAGGGGGCGTATTCGAAAGCCACGAAACCAAAATATACTTTCCGGATGTCTGTAATGTCCATTTTCTGTTTGTTGGTTTACTTTGCTGTTCTAAATATATTAATACCGTTTTACTTTACTGTCTACTTCTAGGTAAAGCTGTAGAGCGATGGAGGAACTGCATCACTGAGACAACACGAAGATCCACTGCTATTTCATTAGTGCAGCAATGCTTTTACCTAGCACTTTTTCTAATAGTAATATAATGTAATGTATTGTATTGATACGTAAAGCAAATGGGTAGAAGAACATATTACATGAATGTATTGATCCTACAAATGCAAGTTAATTGTACTATGCGTAGTTTTGTATGGGCGATTAAACTAGAGAAAAAAGGAAAGTGTTCTGGCAGATATAGATCTAATCGATTCACGGTGTGTTGAAATGTGGTTACGTATTCTGCTTCTTAGGCAAATTCTATGAACCGTCTGCAAAATGAACGATATTTTAGTTTTTTATGTGCCTTTTTCGACGTTCAGGTAAGGCCACAGCAAGTAATTTTCATGGGAGACATCAGCACGCGCATTGTTTTGTCTGATTTTGGAAAAACAACACAAGAAATTCTATGACACTCTGTCAGTAGTCAATGTGCCAAAATGGGCAAAAATTTCTGTTGCCATGCTGGCACTTGGATAGCAAATAGACTTCAAGACGGAAGACACGACAGGGCTCTGATTTATTGATTAAAAACTTAAATGTTTCAATGACAATGGATTTGTAATTCTGTAGTTGACAGAAGCACAATGTAGGTTTCATTAATTGTTTAACAATGTTAATGGTGTCTGTTCATGTCGAAAGTTGAACATGTAGGAATCTTGTTTTTTTTTGCCCGCCTTGTTTTTTTTCGTCCTATCGCATTTAATGTGGAGTCTGTGGAGGATGTCATCCATAATATTTACCTCACTCTCTCCCATAGCTTAGTCAGCCGTCGGGACAGCATGATGTTAAGCCAAGTTCTTCCACTGCTGGCGGTCATCCGCCAGTCTGGCCATCTGGTTGGCGGTTAGACCGGTCCACTCCTTTAAGTCTGTAATCCATGACCGACGGGGACGTCCCCGCGGCCGTGCGCCTTACACCTTACCCTGAAGAACTGTATGTGACAGTGTGCCTTTGGCCCTAGACACATGTCCGAACTACTTTGACTTTTTCTTCTTAGCTTTGGTCAGGAAGCTGTCGAGTGGGCCTTGCAAGGTGTGAATGCGTTCCATGACCTCTTTGTTTGTAGTGTGTGATGTCCAGTGAACCCGTAGCAGTCTGCGATAACAGTTCATCTCAAACGCATTCTATTCACTTTAGCCGCATTCATGGTCCATGTCTCAGCACCATACAAGAAAATTGATAGCACGAGACAACGTAGTAGGCGTATCTTTGTAGGCATGGAGATACTATGATTGCACCAGATGTGTTTTAGCTTTGACAGTGCAAGGGTTGGCTTGGCAATCCTGACTTTTACCTCTTTGTCTGAGCTGCAGTCTTCTGTCTGGACAGAACCGAGGTATGTAAACTTATACCAGCATTTACCTGCTGTGGCCTAATGTTGGAAATAATTATAGACTCTTCAGGACCCCTAGGCTCTTATCAAAGCCTTTTTGATGTTTTAGCATCAACAAAGCCTACGACAATAACAGTCTCGTCCATAAAAATCATGGCCAGGTCCACACGTGACCATCGCTAATACTGATTAACAGCCCTGATCGTCCTGTTGAATTGTGTGTAGTTTGCAGTTGTCCATGTACGAACATATTTGTCGACAACTATAATGGCTATCTTATTGGTCTGTATGCCAAATATTACTGATAGGGAAATTTAAAAAAAAACACGTTGCAGCACAAAATGAGTGCTATTATAATTATATTTTCCCAACCAAGCTGATATATACATGCATGTACCTTCCTAAAAAAATCGCAGAAAACGTTTTTTAAATTTGGAAAAAAGAGCTTGATTTTCTTATTTAATGCAGTTTTTATATTTTGGAATTTACCCATAGCAACGACTCGCCCACTCAAACATGTAATTATATAATCAGACCTTGTTGCTTTAAATCGGCAATACTAGACCTCGTTATTTATGTTTCTGTATTATGTGTATACTTTATATTATTTGATAAACTAGAGTTCCCAATCGAATACCTTCGCCAAATGATGTTAGCCTTTATGACTAAGAAAGTATAACCTAATTCCCTGATTGTGAAAATAGGATCCTCAATTGCATGAATTATATACGCTATTCTACACCAAAAGATAGTCTTATCGTAACAAAGAATGACGTTATAGTATTTTCTTAAAATTATGGAAATGACGCTCTTATTTGAATGAGTTATCTTTAATGATGATTACCTTCACTTAACTTTTAGATTCCCTAGTATGAAATTCCAGGCAGTTACCACAATGGAATTATTATGCAATAATTTGATAATTGCAATATCATTATGTCAAGCATCCCTTAAGCTACCTACATACTAAAAAAAAAAACGACGATCCATCAATCAGTTTTTGAGTTATCTTTCTTTAACCATTTTTCAAAAAAAAACGCCCCTGCAGTTCCAGAGCAAGCAGCTAAGGGGCTCAAAATCATGTCGTTTGTCATTTCACTGTCATTTCATCCCCGGCACAAGAGCTATCTACCAGCCCTCCGTAATATTTATTGCAAGATACATGTATACTGTTAGTAACCCATTTGTTGTCACTTTTATGAACAAAGAAACTAAAATAAAAGTCCACGTTATTCAACTAAGTAATAGGAATAAGCAACATGGGATGTAACAGACTTACGAATTTTTTTAAACGATAAATAAATTATCGAATGGACTGTTATATGCAAAAATGTTACATGCCATGCAAAGAAATATCTGCATTAATGAAGAAGTTATGCCTGCACTAACACACTGACGTGTTGTTAACATTTCATGACGTCATTTTCATGTTAGTGTTGCCCCCAGGGGCGACATAGGTCTAAGTAGACGTCAATATCATCTTTTGTTACTGTTTCGGGCGTTAACCTTAGTTAAGGATGACTGCTTCACCTGTAATTTACTAAGGTCGTATTTTTTGCTTGTCATTTCTCTATCTTCTTGTTGTCTCAGTGACGAAACCCGACGCCGAGAGACATTCAAATCTGGAAAAGACGAAAAGAAATGCAAACCAAGGTACATGACATGCAATATATACTTCTAGTAACCAATATATTGTCATTTTACGTGGAAAGACCAAAAAATGATAGTCATTTAATTTAGCAATTAAGATATACAAAATGAGATATAACAGACCGAGGAATTTCTTTTAACGCATCACATTTTGCGTAGTATTACATAACGATGTAAACAAAATCATAACAATGCCTGCTATGCATTAACTTATTGAATTGACTGTTACATGGCACGTAAAAAATTGCCTGCATTATTAAGAGGTAGTGCCTGCCCTAATATACAAACGTGTTCTTAACAACACACAGTTTTTGGTCTGGTAAGAAATGTGCTGACGGTCAAGACAACAGCCGTGGAAACAAAAACGAGTAAGTGCATATTGCGATTGGACTCAGGCTTGCTTGTCATTCACAATCTAATAGCCGCGTTTAAAACAGATTATCAGAAAATAGATATACAAAAATAACCTGTGTAATACATGTAAATGTTCATCGTACATGTAGGCGTTGACCAAAACAAATTTCTGAAAAATTCAGAAGTGAAACTAAATTAAAGCAAGCAGGGCAAATTTGTAGAATTTCTAATTTGCATACTGATCATAAAGTATATGTTTAGTTGATTATACACATTGTTGCTTTTTCATACGGATTATGGCATGTATCATTTAAGGACTGTTCAATTTTAGAGCGAAGCGAAAGTCAAAGCATATATAGTTGATTGCAGGCCTTGTCACAATTTCTCTCTATTCTCCTTTTCAATTTTACTTTTGCCATCTTCGTAGTGATCAAGACGGCATAAAGGACAGCAAAATGGCGAATCCGAGGGTATGGTTTAGTGGCTCAAGGAACAAAAGAAAGGGAGAAGGAAGGAAAGAAATGCAAACGCAGACATGTGAATTAGAATAAGATACGACATATTTTGGACACATAAATGCAATAAAAAGTATAACTACGTAACCAATACTACAAAAATACAAACGGAAAGATAGCCAACATGTATATTGTTACCCCGTGAAGGAGGTCAGGACCTCCGGTCGGAGTGTTGTGATCGGCTGATTTTTCATGTTCGCAGTCAAAACACTGGGTTCTCTTTGTGTAATGGGCACGCAATTTTATACGCCGTCTGCGGGCATGCCCGTGTTGATGCACGAATGTGTATTTTTGCCGTTGCTGCTTTCGCGGTCAATGTAATATTGCAGACGCACCCCTACAATTACGAGGCGAAATGGAATGGTCCAGAAAAATGCGTTGTTTGGAATAGCAGTGGGGGGTGGAACTTCATGCAGATACGGGGTGGTTTTGATAAGTGGTTCCAGATGTTTTTGCCCATGGTTAAGAGATGCCAAGTTTTTTGGAAGATGTTCGCAGCCAAAACGCATTCTTCCGTACGTCGCATTTTTGTGTAATTTCGCATGTGGTGTGGCATTATGTCCGGGATGATGCACGTCTTTTTATATTTACCGTAGCTGTTTTGATATTGGAGTAAATGGTAATTTTTTTTAACATCCCCATGTCGTTGAAATGTTGTCGTCCGTTTATGTCACCGGTAGTAAGTGGAGTAAGTCGCGGCGGGGCTGATGGGGACGGAAATGTGGGGTGGTCAGAGGTCAACATTAGGAAATGTTAATACCGATGACCTAATCCTATCGATTTCAAACTGGTCGGGTGTGGCGACCTAGTGGCGGCGTGTATTTAGTCACGTAGCAACTGCATGCTGGCCGCTTGACTGTACACATGGCCAATATTTTTTGGGTTGGGCCGCTCCATAGTGTTAGTGGAGCAGCTCTTTGGAAAAATGGACAATATTTTTGAGCAACCCATCAATTTGTTCTGCCTCGTGGTCGGATGTGGTCTGGGGCTGGTAAACCACACATACTAGTAAATCGGATAATTTAATGATTTGCTAGTTGTAAAGGCGTCTTGTAGTATGAGCCGGTATATGAAGAAGTAGCCTGTGTTACACAATCATGCTTTCGGCCGGATTGATGTGCAACTGTTACTGCGCTAATGCCGACCAGTCGCGCTGTCCTGATACACCGCGAATGTGCGAGTGTTCCCTGTAGACAGTCCCGGGAGTCATTTCTTTCGCACATTCCAGGAGCCAAACCAAAATACGTTCATGAACCGAGTCCAAAAAACCGAAACGTGAAAATTGGATGATCGGACCTGATGTACATTTCTCTTTCTGTAGATTGTACACACAATACACACATCTTTAGATAATCTGGCCATGGCAGGTAAAAAAAAAGTAACCCTGAATCAAACTAGATTAGCGTAAATGCATGTTTATGCGTTCAAAACAAGAAAAGAAATTGTTTCCCGGTATTAATCTCTTGAGACACGGCGCTGAATATTGACGCAAAAATATTCCGGGCATCGCGCGCCCTTCCCCGTATGCAAATCCCGCGTCACGTGTCGGCATTTCGCATCTCTGATTGGTTGTTGCGTCTTAAGATGACTGAGCCGACGCGCGTTTAAACAATTTTTCTTTGTTCGATTTATCACACTTCACAGAGAATTGTCGCCAATGGCTACTTCTTTTTGTTGCAATATATA